TGGTCTTGCACAATCCAACGCTGGCGCCCAGGACTTCAACAACGATCTATTGGCACTGGCAGCCCGGAGAGTACAGCAGATCAATTTGCCAGCCATCATCATGGGTGATTTCAATGCTGATGCCTCTCAACTGGCTGCTACTAGTGCATTGGCTCGTAACGGCTTCTTGCATTTGCAACAGCTCTATTCCCACTTGTACGGTCAGAGTATGCCGCCCACATGTAAGGACGCCACCAATCCAGACACGGCTTTTCTTTCCCCTGAGCTTCTACCTAGATTGCAAGCTATCAGGGCGCTTCAAGAGCCATTGTTTGATGCTCATAAGGTGGTTCTTTTCTCGTTGCAGGCCCAGATTGGTAACTTGACTAAGCAAGTCTGGCCCCGTCCGAAGGCCTTCACTGACCTTGGGCTGCGACCACAGACCTACATCACCTTCCCCCTCCAACTACCTTGGAGGCTTGGGGGGTATGTGTGGAGCAAACTGTGGATGTGGCATTGCGCAAGGCTCCCTCGAGCGCCAATCTCCCACGGGGACTACCTCGTTCTTTTCGGGGGCGGTGCCAACCCACCAGGTCCAAGCAGGTTCTTATGACTTCACTTGTTCCTAAAGCTCGGAGAGGTGATTTTGAACCGGCATGTGAAATACACGGGCGCAGACTGCCAGCATGATCAAGCAGCTTCGTCGACTGCAGTCGTTATGCCGCAAAAGGGATAAGTGCCTGAATTTGGATTGCCTTGTGTCTGAATGGCGCAGGATTCTCCGATTTGTTTACGCCTGTCTTTTGTTGCTTGGATTTCCCAATGGCCGGAGCTTAGCCCATTTCCCCCTGGGGTCTGCCCACTCAACATTGGTTGAATGACCTTGTGCAACTTTGGCAATATACAGTCCAGTCTGCGGTGCACTTGGATCAGAAGATCTTTCAAGATAAGCAAAGTTTTCGCTTGCAGCAAGATAAACGCTTGGGTCATAATAAGCTCACATTCGCTTCTGTTCGTGGTTCCACACCGACCTTGGAATCCGAACAGGCTATCCTTGTCCCATTCTCTTGCCGCCTTTCGTCCAAAGCGCCTGAGAGATTTGAAGCCTTTGTTGACGATACGTCCGAATTTCAACTGGGCCAACCGACCTCCCTTGATAAGAAGGCAGGCTGGCTACATGAAATCCATGATGCCTCAATCATTGTCTCGTGTGCTTCCCGGCCAAATGATCTCGAACAGGTTGAGCTTGAGCAAAGAGTGCTTGTGACCAATCCTAACCAAGTTTGTCACCAGCTGTTACATTTTTGGTCGCCAATCTGGCAAAGGGACGATTCCCATTTGCTCAGCACTGAACTTTGCTCATTTTCTTGAACTCTTGCCGAGCCATAATATACAGGTGGACACCACGAGCCTTGCAGCCTGGCTGTCTGTGATTAAGAGCCTGAGATGGAATGCAGCACCTGGCCCCGACGGCATTACTGCCTTTGAACTCCAGTCGTTGCCAACATCCCTCATTGAGTCCTTGATACAGGTGGTCCATAATTACCCAGATGGACTCCCGGCATGGTTCATGTCCTCTCGTGTCTTTGCAGCAGCCCCTAAGGGGCAGGGACTCCCGACCCCGAGCATGGTTCGACCGATAACAGTCTTGTCCCAGATCTACCGTGTAGATCTTAGCTGCCTTTGGACAGCACATGACTTGTGACATCACGGGGCTCCTCGCCGCCAGAGGTGCTTTCGAGGCAGCATACTCTGCCCAATGGTTCTTCGAGCAAGCCTACCGTAACGAGGAGCAATGTGCAGGCATCACCCTTGATCTTGTCAAATGTTTTAACGCTATTAATAGGTCTCGTGGGCTCAGCATCCTGGAACGACTCGGTGTTCCACGGACCATCCTGCACCAATGGTCTCGCTCCTTGTCTAGACTGACTCGTCGCTGGGAGGTCTGCGGTCAGTGCTCGGACCCTCTACCGAGCTGTTGTGGCTTCCCCGAAGGGGACGTCTTTTCGGTTCTCGTCATGTTAGGGGTTGCCCAGTGTTGGACCATTGCCTGTCGGCAAGCCACATCCATGCAGCCAACGCTGTCAGCTTATGCTGATAACTGGGCTTGGGCTGTTCGTGACCTTCGTGAGACGCAGCCCATCCTTGAGATCACACTTCAGTGGACTCGCTTGATTGGTCTGAAGATTGACTGGTCTAAGACATGGTGGTGGGCTTCGCACAATAGTCTTGCTCCCACCATCCGAGCTGTCTTTAACAGGTTGCAGCTACCAACCATTGAGAGAGTGCAATTTGCATCAGATCTTGGGTGCCCTTTGCGATATCAAGGAGCTGCTCGTTTAGCCAAGCTTGGCAATCGTTTGCGAAAAGCCAAAGAACGCCTCTCCCGCTTGAAAAAGTCTCATGTGGACATTGACGTTAGGGCTCAGGTCATTAGTTCGAGCATTTATTCGGTTGCTTTCCATGGTGCGGAGCTTTTTCCTCTTGGACAACAACATACCAAGTCTTTGAGGTTCCATGTTGCTGAAGCTTTGGTAGGCCCTTCGGAGAGCATGTCATCAGTCTTGGTTACGCTTTGTGCCTCTAAGTATATACGGGACCCTGAGCTCCAGCTTATTCTACATGCTTGTGCTGCTGCTCGGCGCTTCTTGCTGACCAAGCCCCGAGCCGTTCAGGCCATGTTCTTTAAGTTAGTTGCTCAATTTTTCCCCCGTCCAAATACTTCCAAAGGACCAGCCTCGACCCTCAAGACATACATTGCCCGTCTTGGTTGGACATTTGATAACAAGGGCATGAATCAGGTAGCCACTTTTGTCAACTTGCCGTTTCTCACGTGTCCCTGGCACACGCTGATTTACTTTGCTGAACGTGCTTGGCAGGATAAGCTTTTACTTCAGCATACTCATCGCCGAGCTCTGATGAGTTTTCCCAACATTGATCAGCATTTGACCAGAACGGTTCTTGCCAAATTCACTCCTTGTGAGCGCGAATGGTGCCTTTCAGACCCGGAGCCAACAAGCCGTTTGGGACGACCAGATCACTCCCAATTGTCCTTGGTGTGGCCAGGAAGACACCAAGTATCATCGATACTTCTCTTGCACGGCTACCCAGCCAATTCGTGACAAATTCTCCAGCTTGCTGGCCACCATCCAGGAGGTGGATACGCTTTTGCCGGAACTTCCTGTCATTTTTGAGAATGTTGATGAAGAATTTCGATTCACTTTTCAGTTTGCGATCCAAGAGCGTCCTTTGCATGGACCTTTGCTGCAGTCCTTGCTCCAGGGGATTACGGCGGATAACCCACTGCATGTATACACTGATGGCAGTTGCCAGTACCCTGCTTTGCCCACCCTGCGCTTTGCTGGGTACAGTGTTGTTCTCGACTCCTGTCGTAGTGACCAGGAACGCATTTGGTATGCCCAACGGTTCAAGGAAACAGGTCAAGTCCCTTCCACTTTTCATGTGGTGATTCAAGAACTCTGTCCACAGGAACAGCAGATTCACCATGCCGAACTTTTAGCCATCATTCGAGCACAGGAAAGCTTCAGTCATGTCATCATTCATTCGGACTCGGCTAGTGCTATTGCCACGTTTCATGCAGCACCAATGGCCTTCCCTTTCGGGATTGCAACAGGGTAGTTAAGATTAAGGGCCATGTCTCTCCCGCCACGTTGCCGGACCTGCAATGTTACCATGCCTTGGGCAATGCTGCAGCAGACCAGGCTGCTGAGGCTGCATGTCTTCGGACCCATACGGCCCTGACTGACACTTGGATAGCTCACGCCCGCCAGGGCCAAGAGGATATTCGTATCCTGCAGGAATTTTATCAGCTTTCCCTGGCGCTGCAGATTCATCGGAAGGCAGTTGAAGCTCACCAACCTGCTTCATTTAATCCTGATGAACCGCACCCGGCTAAACAGGCTTCAGCCTTTAGTGACCTTTTGGGTAAATGGTCAATTCCACATGGATGGAGAATGGATTGGCCGGCGGCGACTGAGCACCATGTCTTTGGCCATTCATACTGGGGTTCCAGCCTTTTGCTCTGCATATTGTCCTGGTTCAGCGCTTTTGTTTGGCCTCTGGATGATCCTGCATTAGCTCCGGAACACACCAGGGTAGGTGTTTCGTGGATGGAACTTGCGCTGAGCTTTATGCTCTATGCCAAAGGCTATATCCCGTTGCATAGGCCTGCTGCCACACACTGCCACTCTTTCGCTTGGGCTCGTACTAAGTCAGAAGCTGCTGCCTTCAATTATACTTGGAATGAATGCGCGACTCAATTTGCTGGCATGGTCAGTCAAGTGATCTCACTTTGTTGCCGATCTGTTATTCCGGCGCATGTCCGCCGAGCTCGCATTTGTTCCTTGTATAGGCAAGGAGCTGGCACGTGTGTCTTTGGCTGGTCTCATCGCCCGGAGTTTCCGTGCCAGGCTCAAGTTGCAGAAATCTTGACGGTTGAGTTCCATCAGCGTGTTCGCCCTTGTTCGTATGATTGGATGCCTGCCATTGATCCTTGCTCTCCGGACACGCCTTGTGCCTTTTCTTGGCAGTACCCTCTTGAGACGTGGAATGTTTTGCAAAAACGACTGAAGAAGGGCACTTCGTTGGCTAGACATGCTTGTCTGGTTGGGCCATGACGGCCGTTGGTACTACTTCCGGGACTTCCTCTCCCTGGTCTTCCTTTTTTGTTAGTTGGTTCACCTTCAGACCTCGACACTCGGCCCCTTCCCCGCCACCTGTGCCAGGGGGGGCCCCCTCATGCAAGCAAAAGCCATTGCTAATTAGTAGGTTGGAGGCCATCGCTCGTAGGTTGGAGGCCATCGCTAGAAGGTTCCATCGCTATTGCTAAATTGCCCTACGCAGCTACCCCCTAACCGGAAGTTCTTTAGACTCACCGGGTGTCTCGTCCTTGTGTCCGTACAGCCAGAACATGGAAGCACTTGGGGAGTTCAAAATAAAAACCTCAAAACCATGCATACAATGCATGTGCACTACCTGCACTCTGCCCAAAGCCCCAAATCCTCTCGACCACGCAGGCATTCCAAAAGCAACGGCACGCAACCTCAAAGCTCTCTGAAAAAGGGCCATGGAATGCCATGGACATTCACCAGGCATTCAATATCATTCACCTATGTGGCTCTCGGTGGGCAGCCTTTGGCGCGAACCTTTTCCCTGGAATGACTTGCTCAGGCCGAACTTGTGGCTTTGCCACGTGTTCGTCTTGTTGTCTTGAAGTCTGTCCTGGAGCAGTTAAACCCGGCTCCGAATACAAGGGTGGGACAAGCTGCCACATCTGACAACTTCCAGACTGTCTGCATAAGAGATGTATTTCAGGAGCTCATGAGCAGGTCTCATCCAAACAGAAACGATGGAGACGCGCAATAGATACACATTGCCAGCTCCCAGTGTCAAACAATTCAAAATGCGTCAAACTCGTCAAGCTGTTCTCCACCCTGGCTGACAGCTTTAAGTTGGCACAAGTTCAGGGAGGTCTCTGAGCAAAAGGGCAAAGCATGCGGCTCAAAGCAACGTACAACACATGTCCATACAAATGCCAAGCAAGGCTGCATGTGCTTGTGGCAGCGCGGGTCTGCCAAAGAGATCTGTCGATAGCTACTAGTAACAAGAAGCTACTAGTGGCTAGAAGCTACTAGGTCCAGGTGGAGGCCATCGCTACTAGTTCTAGCAATGGTGTTTGCAAATACACCTTGCGGAACGAAAAGCGAAAACGGCTTCACAGCAAACTGCCAGATCGATCTTTCATGCCATGGCGCAGCAGTGCAAAGTGAAAACCTGGCTCAATCGGCCATCTTGGACCGCGGTGGCAACCAGCAAACGGCTCATACCGCTTCAATTTCACACTGGTCTTTGTTTTTCAGGGCTTTGCTGGTTTCCACCAACTGGACCCAAGGGGACTGGCACCACAGGAGCAGTGCACACATCAATGCATCATCGACCTTTGTCAGGCCGTCGCTGTGCATCAAGTGGGTGGGGATCCACCTCACGTTCTTTGGTTCATAGACCTGCTGTACACTTCTCAATTCGACCATCAGCCGCTTCTCACTCACGGAGGGGTTCTCCTGGTTCTCCTGGATGAGGCAGTCGTAGAGGCTCTTGGCATCCACGCACAGCACGCTGGACAGCATAGCTCGGCCCTCGTAGGACGGAATGCCATGGAGGAGCTCCGTCAAAAAGTAGTTGACGAAGCTGGCCCTGTCGCCGCCTTCGTCGGCGGCACACGCTTCTGCAGCGAGCGTGCTGCGGCATACGCGGGGTGATCTCCCGCTCTTCCAGTCGAGGAGAACTGCGCCGCAGGTGACCTGTGTCACTTGTGGTGGGCACAATGTCACCAAAAGTCCGTACTGGGACTTGCGCTTCTCTGCATTGGCCCAGCTCGAGTCGGTGAGTGTCACGATCACCGATGCCATGTTGAGAGGGATCCCGGCGAAGATCAGGCCTTGATCTTTGCTTTCCTTCACATGCTCCATCACTTGGTAGAGCTTGTTGAGGTCTTGGATCTGTGCAGCGCCTCCACGGTGGGTCAAAGATGTTGTCGCACAGACATCTGGCCTAGTCTGTCCACCGAGCCATTGGAGTGAGCCGCAAATGCTTCTGTACTCCTTGACCTCGTCAGTGGTCAGCTGCGGGTCACCTTGCAGTCGTCCTTTGGCCAGTTTGCCGACGTGCATGGTTTGGATGAAGTCCCGCTGTGTGACCTGATAGTGCCACTTGCCGTTCACCTGGTGCAAGGAGATTTCTTTTCCTCTGTAGGTGCCGGGCTTCTCGGATGAGACTAAGGTCACGCTGCCCCATGAGAAGAGGTTCCGGAGGATGTCCAGGTTGAAGGTCTCGGCATACACGGCCATGAAGTCGTCAACGTGGACGATCATCAGACAGTCGAGAAGGCCGTCATCGCCGTGGTGGTAGTAGAAGCACCGGTCGAAGGTGTGTTGCTTGAAGTCAGCCTCTTTGACCGTGCGATCGACCTTCTTGTACCAGACTCTTGGAGCATTGCTGAGGCCATAGCAGTTGCCGGTGATTTGGTACAACTCTGCTGAGTAGGCGCCCGAGGCCTTGATGATTGGGTCGTTGGGCGGCTCCATGAACAAAGGAAGGTCGTACCTCTCTGAGCTGTCCTGTTCACCTTGTAGGAATGCCTTCTCGGCGTCTGACAGCCAGAGGGACCAGCTTTTGCCGTCGCCTTGGAAGAGGCGGTTGGCACCACTTGCAGCTATGGCCATGATGATGGTCTCGGACAACATAGGTGTTGGGCTGTCACGTGTCAGCTGCCGAAGGTCGGGGTCTGCGCATCCAATCAGCACCACACGAGTCTTCGCTCGTAGCTCGCCGATGCCTCGGCTTTTGTCCTTGTAGGCTGCTCTTGACCGCAAAATGCGGCGTTTCAGCACAGGGTCGCTCAGGACTTGCTTGACTTCGTCCTTGGTGAGTGGCCTGATGGTTGACCAGTTCATCCAGCCTTCATACTCGGTGTAGGCCGATTCGATGAACTTCTCAATGGCGGGCCAGGGCATTGCCATGATCTCTCTCCAAGGCAGCTCTCGGTCCAGTTGCTTGAGCTCTTGCCTGGTGAGTTGTCGCTGGTTGGACTGTGTCAAGTCGCCATCGGAGGTCTCGGTGTCGGACTGATTGGGCTTGTGCGTTATGCCTTGTTCTGCCAGTTCCTGCTTGCGCTTGCTGCTGTTGAGGTATGCCTGGTAGAACTGGTTGCATGGTCGAGAAGTGCTGTTGTAGTCAGGGCTGCCATCCCAGTGAGGTTCTCTGGGTGCTGCCGCGCCGTCATCGTATGTGATGAACTGCTGTACCCACCGGTTGAGGTAGGTGTTGGGTGCACTGTCGCCGCTGGGCAATGCGGATGTGGCTGCTTGCTCAGTTGCGTGTCCTGTTGGTGCTGTATCGGCGTCGGTCAAGACAGGCACTGGTGTACTCGGTGCTGGTCTTTGTTCTTGGCCGACGGGTGGATATGGAGCAGTCGGTGTGCCTGGAAGCCCTTGTTCGGCCTCTCATGGATCGCGGTGTTGGGGGTGTTGGCCCAAACGATGGCTCAGGACCGTACCTTTGGTATGTCGGTGGGTCGATGTTGACCGTGATCTTTCTGCGATCCTGGTGGACGTTCACCATCTGCTGTGTGTTGGTCTGCTGCATGTTCATCTGCTGCTGCTGGTGAATGTTTGTCTCCACACTTGCAGTGGCTGCAGATGCTTGTCCATGGTCTATCGGTGGTGGCAGTGTCGCCAAACTGTACGGCTCTGCGGTTGGCTGAGCCTGGGAAAAGGGTGCTGCTTCAGGTTCGGGCATGTCTTCATCGTACTGTCGCGCCTGGTGTTCCAGGCGTGGCTGCTTGGTTGGTCGGAACTCGAAGATCTCGTCTTCTGGTAGGGCGGTGCCCTCTGCTGGTGCTTCACCTGTGTCATCGCCCCACAGGTGGTTGGAGATGTTGTGTTCTGCCTGGCGGATGGTCTCGAGGTCTTCTTGGGACGGTACCCAATTCTCCCATCCTGCTGCCGGCCGAATCTGGGTGACGCCAATCTTCAGGGAGTGCTTGCCGACTTGGACCCAAGCAGACTTGCGGTCTGGGTCGAGTGCCAGGAACCTGGCTAAGTTCCATGCTCCCTTCTTGTGCTGCCGTGAGCGGCCTTGTTGTCGCCAGTAGGCGATTGTTTGTCCTGGTTCAAGGCTCGTTGGATCGCCTTGGTTGCGTGTCTTCCGGAGTAGTGCTCTCCGGATGGATTGCGATGCTGAGAACTGTGCTAAGGCGGTGAGCGCTTCCGCTCTGAGCAGTTCTGGTTGTAGTCCTTGTTGTTCTGGGTGCAGCTGTGGCGATATGGACAATGCCGTCTGGTCTGACAGAATGTCTCCGATCGGCCTGGGAATCCTGCCGAACACCGCCTGGCATGGTGAGCGGCCATAGGTGTAGGTGGAGGTGTTCATGCTGTTCAGTACGGCTGTGAGGATCAGGTCGAGGTCATGCCTGGTCACGGCTCCAGTCTGGTCGATCAGCCGTTCGGCCAAGGTGCGCATGAGTGCGTTTCGTCGGCCGATCTTGCCAAGGCGCCAGGACTCTTCTGCAGGGATGACATTGTGTTCAATGCCGAGGTGCTGATGCCATGCTTGGTTGCTTGCTAGGTATGCTCCGTCGGAGTCAAGGGTGATGGAGAGAGGTAGTCCAAAAGGTCTGTACCAGATCTCGTGCATCACGTCCAGCACATGGTCTGGTGAGCGGTCCTGCAGGGTCTTGGCTGCATGGTAGTTGGTCGACATACAGACGATGCCGATCGTGGGAATGGCTTCGCCTGTCAGCAGGCGGATGTAGATGATGTCGGACTGCAGGTGGTCGCCGAAAGCACCTGAGAACTTGGTGGTTGATGTCGAGCTTGGCGGTGGCTTCACTGTTTTGGTCATACGGGTGCATGAACCACAGCGCAGGGCATCGAGTGCACTGAGGATCTTGGAGTCCAGCTTCCCGGCGGCTGCCAGAATGCGGACGATCTCGGCCTTGGGCGGGTGTCCCAAGTTGCAGTGGAGTCTTGCTATGGATGTCCTTTGTTGCTGTGTCAATGGTGGGCCGCCGTCAAAGTATATGTCGGTTTCGAGGCCTTGCACTCGTCGAGTGGAAGTTGTGGCCGGTGTGTGAGGTAGTGCTTCATGAAGTTCTGCCTCTGGATGTTCCTCTGGAGGCGGTTCTTCCTCAGGAGGTATTCCAAAGAAGAACAGTGCAACACGTATGGCCTCTGCGAACCTCTGCTTTGGGTAGGCCACTGCGCTCAGGTCCTCGTGCTCGAGTGCTATCTGGCCTTGTGTGTTCTTGTAGGCGCATCCCCTGTGTGTGTAAGGGATGTCCAGTGGTAGCCTGCGGGCTGCTGGTGACCATACTGCTTGTGCTCTGCTGAGCTGCCATGGCACCAGCTGTTGAATGTGTGTGAACAGCTCATCGCTTTCGCCGATGTTGAATGGCCTCTTGTATGTGTTGGTGAACCGGGTCTCCAACTCGTCCAGGACGTGTGCCCATGCTGCCGTGTCGTGACTGGGGTGTGCATAGTAGAC